TGCCAATGACACTGGTCCATCACCACTTTTCAGTCGATGGATTTTGCCTGTTGGATCAAAATTGACCCATAAGATCGACTATTCCTGGAACCTCGCGATAAACATTCAAAATAATTCGCGGGGGTTATTGACGAGGACGCCGAAACTTCCGAAACACCGGTGTATGGCCCTGGCGTACCAACCTCGTTTAGGCTTTAGTCATTCTTTTTGTGGAATTAGGGTAAAACTTTTTAGAAAGACGGCATGCAACGGATCCGGAGTTTTGAAAGAATACAAAAGTTTTTTATTTTTCTAAAAGAAGTGTTGAAATGATGAAAGTACGAAGAAGTCCTATTGATCAGTAATGATTTCGAGTGTTACTTAACACTGCTCAAACATCGTGTATCACGGAGTACGCATATTTGTACGGACCCACATTTTGAAAGATTGCTCAAAAATAATATATTTTTTTCAATTCTCCCGACTTTTTATTCACTTGGGTATTAGTTGAAGAATTCAGCGTTTTTCTTAATGAGCAGATGCGAAGTTATTAATGGTAAAATTCTGAATATTATGCAAAACGGCTCTGAAGAAGGCGAAACCGCCGCACGTTAGCCGTTAGCCATATTATACTGTACTCTAGAAATTACTGTAAGCAATAAATTTTATTGTTACAATCCCGCATTTGGTCATTACAAAAACCACTCTATTTTTTCATTTGATTTTTGTTAGTAAGTACTTTGACCATCACAGTCGTCTGCGAAAATCGTACAGAAAAACAGAAATACAGACTATTTCAGCCAATAACATTCAAAATACTGTGCAATACAGTAGAAAAGTTACAAAATACAGCATGAAAGCAAAGTGCACTTTCGCCACGACCGTGCGCAAACAATGTTTGCAAAACACCTCGATCTGGAATGGGTGAATGTTTTTTATGAGGAAAATAAGCGATTTTAGTTGGCAAGGGACGTAGGTAAAAGAAAGACGAAACTGCGAAAGGATTCAGAGCTCGGAAATAATTCAGACATCATGAGAGAAAGGGATTTCGATGAGTATCACTGACTAAAGGTTAAGAAACAGAAATATGCACATTTGATATGAGTAGCCAGCTACTTAGTAGCCATAGGGTTTAGATCTCTAACCACCGTAATGATCTAGTTGCTCAAGAATTCGTTCAAAGTTTTCAGTCGTTTTATCTCACTACATATCAGCTTAGACAAAGTCTAAATCAAGGAGGAGCTAGTTAGATCGATTTAGATTCGATTTAGATGTTCTTTTTCTCAGTTTCGACGTCAGCATTCATTCCATGCTATTGCAATATTCCAATGAACAGACTTTGAGTGAGAAGACTCACACCGAACAATGAAAAGCCTAAATATATCACATGAAGCTAGTGAAAGTAAAACTACTTACAAATTGTCAGCTGAAAATTACTACACAGAACTTAAAAAATCACGTTTTGTTAACGCTGAGTATGAAGAAAGAATGCTTCAGTGTGTAATTCATTGATATATTTCAGTTTCTATGCAAAATCAGTGGATTGTGAATACTGATCTGCACTCCTTAGATAATTATGAGATCAATGATGGATGAGAAAGTATTCAATGTGAAGGAGGTCCCAGAGATTCTGACACTTCCATGATCCGAAAGGAGCTTTTACGAAGCTTATATCGATTTTTGCAACTTTGTAGACTTGGCTCACTCATAGAAAACTCAAAGGCAGTTGAATCACAGTAAACTTTTCAGATAAGCTTTGACTGGAGCTCAGACAAGTGCTGCGTTCTGTCCTCTTTCACATTATGTCTGACGGAATGTTTTTCACATTATTTTTATTATTTGGACGTTATCGAAGATGCTGCTGTTGAATGAGTATCATGAGTATCACGTGACAGAAAAGTAGGTAAGGAAACCTGGTTCTTCGATCTATACACCGATTAAAGATCAGAGACGCTACGGCATGTCGAAAATCAAACACCCGCACGCGCGTGATGCGACTCTAAAGAGAACCGGTAGACAAGGACCAGACTGGTTCGACGAAGTGTATAAAGAAGACCACCACCACCACACTGCATACTTCTTCCCCAAGCCATTCAACGAGAAAACATGATGCTTTTTGTTTTCCTTGCCCTAAAAGGACCTACTTGAGAGTTCTGACACATTACAAACAAATATAATGAACTCAGTGTATCTATTCAAAACGAAGTAGCTAACATAGATGAACGAGGTTGTTGTTGTGATTATTTTGAATTACAATCGGCACACATTCGAAATATTCAGGGAACATGATGCGACAACGAGACACTTCAAACTTTTACAGTTCGATTGGTAATAAGCAGCCGTAAGCGATCGACGGAATTAATAATGTAGACCACAATTTCACGTGTTTAGAAGCGAACATGTCTCTCCGTTCCAACTATCAGTAGAAGTGACTAGCGGGGCGTGTAGAGCCACTGACATATCAACTTCGAAAAAGCTTACATCATTCACTCAGTTTATAGATCGCTTAAAGCTCAGAAAGTTTACAAAAGGAAGGCTCATTTGCACCTCAATCAACATGATATTCATTCGAGGTGAAGTAAGCTGTGTTACTGACAATGCGTGAGTGATGAGTGCCGTAAACATTTGGTGAATTTGTTGACAATTATATGAATAAACAGCCTAGCCTGACGCAGGCTTTGGCACTGTATTCGTACATCGTTTCATAATAAATAGTGCCCAAGACATATAACATCTACCCTAGTTTCTCATATGGAAGACGGGGTTTCCAACACTTTACGAAAATCATGCGTCAATCACGATAAAAGTACTTAATGACCTGATATTAGCTTATCAAAAATTGAGATTAAAATTCCATCATTCCAACGAAAGCAAAACGACAGCCGTCATCATTGGTGGCGAAAACTCCTTTACAGAATTCTGCTGTTTTCACAAATGTGTGTTTGGTTGATCTTTTTGACAGTTACGAAAGCCCCGGTATGGATGAAACGTGGGTTCGTCTCCCGCCTAACCTCGTATTTTTGCTCGCCACTCAATTCTTTTAGGTATTTATGAAACATCATAATACTGTGAAAAGGTGATAGAAACGCCAAAGATTTCAAGTTACGAGAGTATCACGAACTGCCGATATATGTGCCATCGTCGAAGTCCTTTTGAAGCTTCAGATATCACCATCTCCAAACAAGCACTCACGTCTATCAGAGATAAGTCAAGAAATCTCATGAAGATATGGAAAACGGAGTATTCTAAACCAGTTGCATCTATATGTGAAAAATTACAACATATTGTGAGACTCTGGCATATAGGAAAATATTTCATGACAATGAAATGTTACGCACTGCTCGGAAGATATGCATAGAGGTGTTTGAAACATGAATAAATTCGTTTGAAAACGTATAATCGCGGTCTTCAAGGATATTTTTCGCCATGAGTATATCGAGAAATCGAGTCGCAGTCGCACTGCCCCAAAAACTAAGCAGACTTCTTGGAAGCTTCTAGCTGACCATCGATGTTCAGCTATACACAGCAGTCACTGCAGCCACGCCTTAGCTATATCTGGCTGCGGTCTTCACCTCCGTTAAATAGGAGAAGCCCTTTCAGAGTGCAGAAATGAGCGTGGTTGTTTCTTTCCTTGTGGATTGCGATGCGGAAACCCTTGCTGTTTATGAAATATGTTAGCGGGAAAAACGATATGAAAAATCGTACAGATTGATGTGAATGGTGTGATCGGCATCTTTGCAAATGGCGTGAATTACACATGCTTGAGCAGGCGGAGAAGGCTGCATAATTAGGCCACCAAGCGATCTTGTCGTGCCTTTTGGCGTTCTCGGTCTGCTTATGCAGAGGTATAGAAGCGGGACAAGCATGCCGAATTTGTGCCAAGTAATTTGAAATGTGATTGATTATATGAAAACACTATAAAGTGTTGAAAAGAGTACGCACTACATGCGATTTATAGGATAGAGAGAATAGTTCTTGCAGAAGCGAAATACGTAAAGAAATAAAAATGAATAAAGTTATAGCCCATAAAAGTGATAGAAGAATAAGAAGGAAATCAGCTGATGAACAACTAGTCTTTGGTGAGTGAATAGTTGAGACGATGTCGGTTTGCTTTTTCTCGTCCGCAAAGCTTTCCACACCACATGACACGCTCTGGATCAGCTATAAAGTGCTTGAAGGTGAAAACAAGACGGCTGTCCAACATCGATTGCCTCAAATATTCGTCGATCTAATTTGTGTTCGCATGTTGAATTCAGAGCCCCCTGGGGCAACAGATAGAGTATAGTGACATGATAGAGTAATGAAGAGGATGAAGGGATAAAAGAAAAATCATTGATCTTAGGTGAAAACTGATAAGTTTTCATACGTTGCAAACGAAAAGAGCTTACGTTGTCATACAGTTATACATACATGTATACGTGCATACACGTGCACAAAAGCACACGTAAATACACACACGCCTACACACACCACACACACACATACACACAAACACATACACACATACAGCATACGCACATACATCGTAGGCACTTTAAGTTGATTATTTCAAAAGAGGGGAGGAAACGTTTTAGAGAATTTTGTGGATGAGACAAGAAAAAGATTGGTTGATTCGAGAAGGCAAGAACGATATGTGAAACAACATCTAATATTTGAATCAAAATAGGTTAATAATGAAGTATACGTCAGTGTGTAGAGTACTCTGAAACCTATTAGAGCTATTTGAATTAGAAGCGTATTTTCATTCAATTAAAGGTCCATTAGTCAGCGAAAATCACTAGTTATACAACTGGCAAAGATCTTTCCTAGCAAAGTATGAGTTGTTGCCACATTGCAACATCGCATCGTAGGCGAAGCCTGGGTCAATGGGTCAAAGTGTGCACAGTGTCCACTTGTCTGCTGTGTTATCGAAATAGTCAATATAATTGGGAATCTATCGCGAAGCAATGCTTTGCTGTTTTTCCAAACTTTTTAAGGTTTATTTTTATACCCAATAATGTAGAGTGCTGTGCAGGAATATTTGCGTCAGCCGGGGTTCGAACCTAGATCTCACTCTTTCCGGGAGGACGTGCTAACCGTTGCACCACAGACGCTGCACGTTATCACGCGCTCTTGGAAAGAGTGAGATCTGGGTTCGAATCCCGATTGACGCAAATGCTTTTGTACAGCACTCTACATCATGGTATATTATAGGATCATACCACCGCAAGAGGCGTTTAAATAAAAAGAATTCCGAATGTTTATTTTTATGTTTTATCTATGTTCATTGATTTGCTTGGCAACTATGATTTTGTCTATGTGTTCCATTTCCAAACTAAAGCTTCCCCTGTAAATGAATCCCAGTGTCCTTGATTCTTATGAAAAAAAAACATAAAGTCTATAACAGTTGTTCCGCCAAACAACTGCTATTTTCTTTTGCGTATAAATCGTGTATTTTTATATGGCTAATAATATTTATAGATGATCAACAAAATCAAGCAATGAGTCATGGCGACGGTTAGTGGCTTCCACAGGCAGAGGACACCGTTTTTTCGGGTTGCAGCTGACACTGGAAAGGATTCCAGACAAGGGAACGGACGAAAAACATGAAGACGACGGTCGAGGGTCACGTCCCCAATGACACTTTATTTGCCGTTTAATTTCATTCCTTGCTCGCTTTCCTTATCATTTTCTTGTGTGATTAAATTCGCATGAAGTATTTACTACTCTCAGCTCTGGTTCTTCTTCTTCTGTAGGGCATTCGTTCAACCAAATCATCCTATTAACGATTCATTGTCACCTCCGTCCTTTATCCAGCCAAGATCACGTCACGGAGGGTCCTAATCTTTATCGTATGAAGTCGTAGATCTTTATTACCTTGATGTCATATAAAGCCCTGTAGTTATTTTATTCATATTATTGTTGTAGTATCATCATTGTAATGTTTATATTTTACAGGTTGCTTGTTATTAGGATAGATCTCATGCTCAACTCAACGTGGCAGGCAAACTAAGCCGAGTCGAAGAGCAGTACTCTATCGCAATGTACACAATCAACGACTCAATTACCACCGCGACTGAAATAAAGTCGAAAATACAGACATGGCTGTGGATTTCTTGAGAAAGTTCACTGTTGAAGCAAAACTCGAAAAGCGGTGAAGTGATCTAAGAGAAGCTATAGATAACCTTAGGGGTGAAAAAAACTCATGGGAGATCTTCAAAAGTTTCGTTTTTATGCGCAAATTAACAACATAAACAGCAGTGACTATTCTTTAAAGTTTAGACCACCATTGTCCACGACTTTTTGTCATCGTTGCGCAAGTTTTTAAATATTCTCGAAGAGATCATCCCGACCTCTTTGCTTCGAAAAATTCTTGACATGCTTCTTCAACTTCATTGAGTGATTTAATATATGAATCCCAACGAGGCTTCTTGAAATTGATGCACCTTGTTGACGACGGTCCTCTGCGGCATCAAGGCATTCACCTGAATCACGATTGCTCGATGAAGACTGTCTTGCTACTCATGCATGAATGGGAAGCAGAGGAAAGAAAATGCGCAGTTGAACGATATCGAAGTAATGCAATTTCATTGCGAAAATCGTATTAAAAATCAAAGCGACACGAACTTTGCAGTTTTGCTGCATGATAACGCTCGACCTCATATTGTAAAAGCAATTGTAAACGTTATAAGAAAAGTTGAAATGGAAGGTTGAGGTTTTACCTCAACCGCCTAACTCTCCCGACATTGCATCGTCAAATTACCACTTGTTAGCAAAATCCAAATGCAACTTAGCAAGTTCGAAATAGGGCGTTTTTCGGGTACAAAAGTCGTTATCCTCAAAGTTCTATACAAACCATCAGTCAGATTTTTTCTGTATATAAGAAGCACATAAGTAAATAGCATTTTCAACGCACTTTCAAACAAAAAAGAATTTGCACATATTTATCTTCAATACCATTACTGCAAAAAGCCGGCGATGTCACATATATACGCCTGGTATGACTACCTCTCCCAATATCATTCTACCCCATGACTGAGGTTTTCTTACGTATTGAACTGCACAATAGGGAATCAGGCATTGGCAAATTCATTAAACCGATGTGCTAGTCATTCTTATTTAGAGGTCTACTGGGGATAAATCAATGCTAAGACTAATCATAATCTTATAATACACAAAGACACGACGTTGTAAACTTTGCCACGATGCGCAAAGATTGCAGCTCGCTGTGATAATTTTTAAACCTCAAAGCAAGTGTTTCTGGAAACTCCAAACACCCTCCCGTACTAGAAAATGCTAGTTAAATGAAAGGTTTGACAGGGTTATAAGATTATGCGTACGTATGGAGTGTGAATGAAAGTGATGTTTCATTGGTCGAAGTAAACCATTAGGAGCGACGGTACTTTACTGTTTACCAGAGCTTTTGAAAAAGCCCTTTTCTAATAAACACTTTCCACTAGAGTGTTAGCCATCATTCGAAACCTCAATCTCGCAGATAATAAAAAATAGATTCTCTTCAGCAAGGCCTCCTTACGGCTCTGGAGCCCGTAAATTGAAATTATGTTTCACTCCGCCGCGCATTTCGCTCTTATATCTCGGTTGACAGAGCTCTCG